ATTGTCCTCACAATTATATACTGTCGCCCATAAAGTTGGAATTATTTTGTTTTCAGACATCATCCTCTGTTTATTCCTATTTAAATGCATCAGTAATCACTTTTGACCAGGTGCAAAGATTACATTATGTGTCCCAATTACCCAGGTGAAAGGAAATAAATCACATTGTCACAATCATTTCATGGAAAAAGGAAAAAACTTTAAGAGCAACAGTGTAGAAAGACATGTACACACAAAGAACCACACATCAACACGCACACACAAGTACACACAAATACACGGCTGGAAGTGCTGTGAACAGTTTAAAGTTTGAATAAAGTCTGTAGCTGAGAGTATTTTCAAGTCGTTGAATTTCAAAGACGAAGTTTTGAAGGAGTTGAACATCATCTCCATTAAGTTACATTGTGTAAATTGCAGAAAAAGTTTATTATTTCAAGAATGATGAATGATGAATAGCATCAAAAACTTGAAGGAAAGGATATATCTCCTAAAGAAGCTGAAAGGTTTGATAGCTGAACGGTTTATGTAGCACAAAGTATGCAGGAGTAGTTAACAACCGAAGGAAAGTAAGAGGAGGATGTCAAGTATAACACCAGTGTTAATGTCATCTCCCTCCATGAGTACTAACTTGTAAACAGTTTTCTGTATCTGTGCGTGCGTGTGTGTGTGTGTGTGCGTGCACGTTGACATGAACTAACTTTAGTCAATAGTACGAACAGGAGCCGGACTCGCAACTACCAAACCAAAGACCATCATATATCCCTCACACCTAACAGTTCACCATCTGTTAAAATATTTCATAGGTCTTTATGTAATCAGCAGGTGGTGTGTTTCATTGAGCTTCATTTCAGAGTTCATCCAGGCTCTCTTTCTCTCTCTCTTTTACTGTAGCAAATGTTTTACATACACTCTATTGTTGCAACTGGAGTGGACAGTCTGGAGGGACATCGCAATCGTCAGGGCAAAAAGGATTCTGAGCCTTGCAGTAGACTATTTTACATTTTACTATTTTTTGAAAATGTGACCCATTTTCACTGATTCCTATGACCATATAGACTGTGATGGAAAGCATAATTTATATGTGTCCGTTTGTGTATGTGTGTGTGTGAGTGTGTGTCTGTGTGTGTGTGTGTGTGTGTGTGTGTGTGTGTGTGTTTGTGTGTGTGTGTGTGTGTGTGTAAGAGAGAGAGAGTCTGGCTGTTGAAGACACAGAGCTCATACAAATATATGGGACACAGGGGTCAGCAAACCTCTCAAACTCCTGCCATATAATACAAAACAGTACATAATATCAGTAAAGTTATCACATGATCACCGCCACCAGACTTTCCTGATCACCTCTATGTGGTTCTGGTGTTTCTAGAGCCAAAAATGTGGGAATAGGAGCGAGTTACAAAGAAGGGTCAGTTCTGGTTTTCTCCTGAAATCCTGAATTTGTATTGCTGTCTATGGGAGAGTTTGAGGGTGCTCGCATCACTTGGAGGGTCACATTTCAAATTTTGTTAGTCTCTGTACTAAGGTAGCCACTTTTTATGAAACAGGGCACATTTGTCTACTAATGAGGAAGAAATTATTTGTGAAGACCAAAATATGTGGCTGTGAGGACGAGTTAAACAGAATTTTTTCAGAGGTACAGCTTCTCCTACTCTAGCGATGATGTCATCCGCTCTAGCCTTGAACATTCTGTGCAATGCACACCCATTATAAACTCAAAAATGATTAGAAAAAAGCTTGAAACTAAAACTGTGGTAATTCAAAAACTGTTGACGATATCAAAAATTTGAATACAAGCTTAATAGCTGAAAGGCTTGTCTACAGTTTAAAGATTGAATGAACGCACCATACATACGACTCCGAGAGTCATTGATGATGATCCTGAAAGTCATGCTGAAGCAGTTCGAAAGGTTTAAAGAGGCTGAAGATTCTAAGGATTACAACATTGAAACATTGGGCTCGCTCACCTTGACTGTGCTAAAAAAAGTTTCACAGTGACTTACTCAGTTCGATTTGATTTAGGGAGTCAGACAAAAGATTTTAGGCTCTATATTGGGCAACTATAATTTGATATGACTGTCTGTCATGGTGGATGAGATGTTTTGTTTATAGTGTCTGTAAAGTCATCGCACATCTTGTACGCTCTGACTGAATTCTATTCCTGGCTACTACAGACCGACATTTGTTTTCATATTTGAAATAAATATATAAGCTTAATTTATTTTCGGATATATTGTCTAATTAAAAGGCTAGTTTGAACATTTCTCTGTGGTCATGCCACACGCAACTGTAAGACTGTCTGACAGTCTGTTTTGCGGTACACTTTTGCAGGATTTGAATCTATTTGTATTCAGATTTCAGATACATTTTTGACACATCGACATGAATTACTCTCAGTGTCAAATTTATATATAACCATATCATACCACCATCAAAGGAGTTTAACACTACAATTTAAGAAATAAAAGAATATAAGAAATAAAAAAAATTTATTTGGGACCCATTGAGTTTCCCAGGGACCCACTCAAATCACCACCTGTGGGTCCTGGGGACTCTAATTATTAATCAGAGTTCCAGACTAATAGAAATAAATTGAGACTCAAACAATAATGGCTATTTTGCCTATTAGTTTAGGCTGGTGCGCCCGAGGACTTTAATTAATTTTAAAGTTATTATTTAATGTTAATATTTTCTTAATTTATGATTTAAATTAATAGACAACCGAAGATCCAACATTTATGGTGTCCAGCTCATGAGGCAGAGCTAAGACCCAACACACACACACACATATTGACATAAACACACAAACACCATTTTATTGCAGCTCAACCAATGTAAGGGCATGTACATGTGTGTATACGTGTCTTGCTATGGTTGTTGAACAAATTTGAGTTTGAAACCATCAGTGTGAGGTTATTTTGGTCAGTCGTGACAGAATCTAAAGGCTTTTTGATGGATACCTGCAGGGACTGAGGTCAGTGTCAGGATAAGTCTCTACGCCATGAATGAAACTGAAAGTAACGTCCTTTATGCAGATTGAAACCTGAAGAGTGAGGTACATGCATCGAGCAGCAGGCACATTCAAAATTTCTCCAGGAATTTTCTAGTTTAATTTTACTCTTCCTGCTACTTCCACCAGCCACCACTGCAGTACTACAGCAGGCTGGTACAGGTATTACTGCTATCAATAATCCTCTGCTGTCACTGGCAGTAAAGGAAGCTCACACAGACCTTTAATCATATGCTGGTGTGTGGAAGACATTCAGAGACATGTGTGCTGCTACTGTAACCACAGTGTGTTCCGGGTGAATGCTTCATCGTTATTCATCATCTTCAGGTGGTCCAGCTTGTTCGAGATCCACGCGGTATCCTGGCATCTCGTATTGAGACATTTCGAGACACTTACCGGCTGTGGCGTCTGTGGAGAGCGACTGGGCATCGACCCCACAACCTGGACCTGGGACAGATTAACACAGTATGTGAGGACTTTCTCAGGTCTGTGTCTGTCGGCCTGGCCAGACCCGCCTGGCTTAGAGGGCGGTACAAGCTGCTCAGGTGAGAAGGACATGGATAATATTTGGACATACAGTCTGTGCTGAACTACCCCAGTCCAGTCACCTTCACCAGCAGGGCTGTTTTTCTGTCAGAGGGATGACTGGTTGACAGGCAGTTTTGACTCCATATTTTTCTCCTTACCCTCAGATATACTGTATATGTGGATTAGCCCTAACAGAAGTGTTTCCAGCTGAGACAAGTGGGGGGGGGTCACCTGTAGTCCTAAAAGGTGTAGTCCTAACCGCAGCCCGGGTTCAAGTCCAACCCATGGCCCTTTGCTACATATCATCCTCTCTCTCTATGTGTCCCAGCCAGGTTGTGTTCTGTTCTATTTGCATGTGTTTTCTTAAGTTGCAGTGTGTTGAGCTCTCAGGGCCACCATACATTCTCTACCATCCTAGTTTGCTGCTTGTGTGGACTTTGTTGCTCCTTATACTATCTGATCTGACTTCCTAAAGCATTTCTAGCAGAAAGC